TGCCGTCATTGCAATGGGTTGTGTATTTATATTATATTATACATGTATTTGTTATTATTTACACACGTAAATAGTTGGAATTAATTGTACGAAATAGTGTGTTCATAGTAGAATTCATTTATACGATACCAAATTAATTACAGTTTAAATAGGTCAATGAAACACACATATATACACGCAAACACAATTTATTTAGATTCATATAAAGTCTGTCGGACAATTTTAATTGAAAACTAGGCTACGAATAAAACCTTTTAGTGAGAAGTGTACGTGGCAAAAATCATTTTGAATTGTGTTCTGTTTTATTTATTTTTGTTGCATAATTAATTAACGATTGTGTTTTACGTTTTAAAGGTTTTTATTGTGTTATCAAAAAACTAATACAAAGTTATACATATAATTCTCCATATGACCCTGTCTGAATTCCCAGTACATTAATGAGAACAAGGTCAAAAGCCTTAGTCATGATCGTTATACTTTTACGAAATATGCATGTATAATTTGCTTAGAAAACATCCAATGATTTGTGAGGATTATGGCAGTGTCGGGGGAACATAACGAATAATTATAAAATTATCAATAATGTAGATATTACTTTGTACTCCCTGCAAATATAAATTCTAAAATTTATAATTTTCGATGATTTTACCCATTACACAAAATCTGTCGATTAGTTTTGGCTCAATATTTTCATTATTTGTATGTATAAATGTATATATTCATACATATATTTTGTTATCATGAACTATGTTACACCTCAAAGCGCATTTTTGTGGTGACCGGATACAAAAAAAATAAAAATAAAAAACTGTGTCGAGAACATTTAACTTTAAGATTTTTGTGTTTTTTCTTCGACTATATCGATCGGTAAGATATTACGGAAAACTATACGTAATGATATGCCTAATACCTTTTTCTCATCATCCGAGTCGGATTCGGTTATACGGTCTAGTCACAGTTTTGTCTTGTTGGAAAGAGGAAAAAACAGATGGAAAAAATGTATTATATTCCATTTCCAGTGTTATTCTGTAGTCATGTTTAAGAAAAAAAAAAAATTATATTTTCCTTTTATTTCCAGAACGGTCACATTCTACATTGAGATTGAGACTAATTTACGTTTCAACGATCATGGATGAGAAAATAATTATGCAACCAAAGAAGTCAAAACTATCGTATAGAAGGGTGACGTAACGCGGGAAATAAAATACATTTTCTGCATCGATATCASAAAATTACGTCATCTGAAATTATAATATGCAGAGTGTGCTAAAAATGTTTGACGAGACATAAGAGTTTCCTTTAAACGTGTCGTTACAATACACATTATAATATCTTAAGTCAATTCGTCACTAACAGAGTACAGAGATGTATGTTAATAGCTCATAAAAATTTTACATACCAAGTTATTTGATAGGTACCTACTGTATATTTATATTTGAAATATATGACCAATGGTAACAGTCGTAGAACTGAATAATATGAATTATACTTTCATGTTTGGGGAAACGGTTCGGTCGAGAACCAGTTGCGGTCGACAGATGTAGAGACAAAATATGTCGCGTTTTCCCGTGGCCAATTTCGCGATGATGGTGGAAAATATCTCGATTACAACGTAAAACGTGAACCACAGCTGCCAAATTTAAACCGCGGTTGAAGTGACCGCCGACAACACCACCGAGATGATTTACGTGGTGTTTGACGATTGGGTAAACCAGTAACCACGATACTTTCTTTTGACCAGCCGCAAAAGCAAAACGGTGGACACCAACTCATTTTATTATATAGTTCCAAGTCCACCACAACATGTCGTCCGATTGTCAACGAGCCTCGTCCAGTCCGTTTTCACATTGACGTTTGTGAGTGAGCAAAATGTTAGACATCGAGACGACATTCCAGGGAAACCAGCCTTGGATAAGTATTATATTTTGTGAGTTTCGTCACTTTCAGTCCAACGTAACACAAAGGTCAAGGTCATGAATCGCACACCAGTCATTCATGTACTATATTCACAAATTCCTCTCGAACTAATTACGGCCGTTATTTTGAATTTATTTTATATAGCCACACATAACTCAGAGTTTATAATTTAATTATAAATAGGTTTGTGTAAAATCTGAATAAAACCTGGATAAATTATTAATGAGATAGCTGCAGCAATATAGAAGAAACAAATTTTCCCAAGTGCCACGTAAATTGTAAATACTTATTAGATAGACGTTCGAATTGAAATTGTATTATAATATGTTGATAGTATCCATCACTTTGGTCGTATTAAAAATCCAACTGATTGGATATTTAAAAAATAAATAAACACATTATTATAATTTGTCAAGCTTCGTATGCAACTTTAAAAATGACTCGCTAAATGATCTCTTCTTTTACATATAAGTACTGGATAAAAAAAAATAAATAAGAAAAAAATCGAAAAGACATTTTTTTATTCGATTTTCAAGCGAAATTATTATCTCATCCACGCACGTTTAAAATGCATTTTCCATTCGAGGGTAACTTGTTTAATGTTCAATTTCCTTTAACAGAGTATTCACCAACTCCATTTTCCGAGAAGACCATTATGTTTGTGCCTACATATAAAGTGGTCGAATGCGTTTATTTATTAAATCCAATATAGTAAGGTAATTGTTTCCTTTTTAGAATAAATACAATATCTTAATAACTTAGTAGGTACCTATATATTATAATGTTAAAATTAACGTTATAACGTAGCATAGAATGGTGATTGTATTAAAAATATCATACGTGTTACGCCGAACGAAAATAGTAATAATATAAATAATAACAATATAGTATAATCTTTCAAACAGGACCCGAATTTTTATTGATAACCCTTTAAAACGAATATCATAGAAGTGTAACTATTATATACTTCTGTGGTTTAAATGGTTTAATTTGCATGCAATTATTCAATATAGTATTTTATATCATTTTACGGCCTGTATCCTTAGCGGACAGTTTCTAAGTAAAAATAATAATACAATGACATTTCACCGCGCGAATCGTCTATATTATCTTATGAATGATTGAAGGTGACTGCGATACCGATGAGAAATCCAGTACCCACTGTAACAAAACCGTAGACATTGAAATCATCGCACTATTTTTTGTTTTTATTTTTAATGATAACAATATTGAAAACATTATAATATCGCAGCAGATCCAATATTTACACGCAGCTGTAGCTGCAGTTGTGGTCGGTCCGATCATAAAATATCATAATATTATGTTATACTATAATAATAATATGTTAAGTGAACTTTCTCCTCGGCTACGCGACGACGACGACGAGTCCTTGACTCTGCGTGTTCCATTTCCATTTAATAATATCATAACATAATAATAATATTATCATCATCATAATATTGTGTGTACACGCACGCAACGCGATACACGGCGATGCGATGATAATGTTATGCATAATGTGCACCTAGCTCTTTTGACCGAGTAATACACATGCGGCGGCAGACGTCTAGACGCGGTTCATATATTATAGCAGTATAATGTACGTCATCATACACGTTTGTGTAAACATCGGAAACAATATCGATAGCGATAATTTTTCGCCGAAATTGTACACCGGAAATCCTACCTGTACTGGGTATAGGCGTAATAATATTACGTATCATTGCGTTTAATTGTGTATTATTATACACTCTTCGATTGACCACCAAAAACGACGAAAATTATTCGAGTTTCGTTCTGCGGTGTCCGCCTACGGCGCCTACATACCTATATATACTACGTTATATCATTCTCTTTGCGTTTCCGCATCGGACCGGGACAATAAATTGTTCAAAGATGATGATCGCATGTATAGTTTTATCGCACGCTCGTAATATACGCCGTGTTTTAAACGCCACACTGGATCTGAACTTTCTGTTATCTTTCCAAAAGCCCGAGAGAGCTTAACGGGATTAAGACGGTTATGTGTTTGTTTGCGTCAGTTGTGCTTGCGCCATCATTTATATACATATACTATAGACATTATTTCAGTGTGCGTATATAATACACGACAATGTGCGTGTGTGTGTGAAACAAGCATAATCGGAGTAAACATTTATAATGAGATAAACCGGGCGAGAGGACGTGAAAACTTTTGGGCCCTTTGACAAGAAGAACGAAATTTACGACATAATTAATGTTGGCCGTTTCAGATATCCACCTATATAATATGGCTATATAGTTTAAACACGCCGGGCCCGCCACACAAATCGCCGTGCCTCATCGCGTCTGGAAAACAATATTATTAAATGTATCACGCGTCACCGTGGCAATAATAATAATAATGATAATATTTCGTTTTCGCTGGCGTAAGATTTACAAAAAGCGCCTGTCGACGCGTACGACAAAACGACATTATCATCATACGTATATACAGACTTATCGTTTCGAAAATATTGCTGCCGAGATCGTATGGCGTCGTTTCCGACGATGTGCACCGAAGAAAAAGCGGTTCAACAGAGATTTCCGCAGTTCTATTATTCGATTTTAGGTAGGTGATTTACTGATTTAGGAAACTACAGTGGGGTTGCACGCGCAATAAAATCTGCCAACAGTGTTTAAGAATAACAAAACTATCGTAATCTAATGACATAATATTGTAAATAAGACGCGTACCTTATACACTATGCCTATGTCGTATAGAGGCGGTTTCTTAGTGTTTTCCGCGCGTTGAAGTTACTATTGATAACACAATAACTGCGGAACGGAATGTAAAAATATTTTTGTAGATATCGTTCGGCCGAGTGCCCGATGCACTGGACTCGAAACACCGTCAGATATTGATACATAAGGACAAAATCCCCGTCACCTAACCCGACTATAGTGTGTTCGCAGCCGGTCTGAGCGGCGTGGTGATCGGCACTGCGTTCGCGTGGAACTCGGCGGCCGCCAGACTGACGCGGACATACGCWAACAACGATTACCGCGAGACGGCAGTCTCCGGTTGGTACGTGGATGCGGTCGCGTGCTACTTCCTGGGAACTATGGTCGGCGGCCTGATCCTGGGTCCGGTGACGAGGAACATCGGCTACCGGCGTTCGGTGGTCGGGTGCGACGCGGTCGTGTTGATCGGCTGGCTGTTGATGTCACAGGTGAACTTGGCGCCCGTCTGGGCCATCCGGTTCGCGCACGGCATCGGTACCGGAGGACTGGGTCTGCTGATACCCACGTACATCGCGCACATCACCGACTTCCGCATCCGGGGTGAGAACGTTTTACGWAATTATAATGCGTCGGGTCTAGTTAATATGTATTATAATACAATATATTAAACGCTAGTGTGGTCCCGAAATTCGTTACAATTATACAATAGTGCAGTGTGTAGTCGATATACCGAGTGTTCTACATCGCATTTGTGTTGCGCGTCACCTATATAGGTCGGGCGTTGGTCTTCCATCACGCGTTCGTGTGTTTCGGCGTGTTCTTCGCGCACTCGTTCAGCGCCATCGTCACTAACTACCAGCTGACGGGCGTCTGTATGGTATGGCCTGCCCTGCACATTTTCGTCTCAGTCTTCATGCCCGAATCGCCTTTGTACGCGTACAAGTGCCAAGGCGATTCCGACCTCGTGAGAACGGCCATACGTCACGCCAAAGGCGCTGACTACGACGTGGACTCAGACTGCATGGCGCTCGAGGTTGGTACTCGTTTAAACGACAGCTCCGCGATGCACGTGAAATCGGTCGTATGAGTCATTTTTTTGCAGAGATACGTGTTCGAGTTCGAGTGCATGATCGACGACAACAGGAGCCGCCTGATCCGTAAGATGGTCGCTATCGGGGCGAAACTCGTGGTGCTTCAGCAGACGTGCGGCGCGAGCGCGACGATGTTTCACGCCAAATCGGTTTTCGGCGGATTTGGTCTGACCACGGAAATTGCAGGCTACAGCGACGAACGCGTGTACAGCAACACGCAAACAATCGTTACGATCGTGTCCGCCGTTCAAGTGAGCCGTTTTAAAAATTAAAATATTTTTACCGTAGATACCTATACTATAATAATTTAGGTACCCACTCGTACATGTATTTTGTCCATCAAATGCATTTAGAAACGTACAATTGTTTATGAAAACATTTTCGTGACGGCAGCTTATATAAAGGGTAACTAAGTTTCTTAATCACGAGACGAATAACAATAGTTAATAAAGTTAAGTTATTAAGTTTTGAACTACTCTATTCCTTTTGCCTACACAGCGTACCGTGCCACTATTCTATAATATTAAAGCACTAATACTCACATATTATTATCTACACTTGAATCACTGACTCGGAATATCTGCAAGATTAATAATGCCTTGAACTAAATTTTCTCTGATAAAAATAAAAGTATGACTTTTATTTAAAATATATTTTTTAAGTTACTAATTTTGATAAGGTTATTATTTACAATGTTAAGACATTTCGTTTTTTTTTTTATTTTGAGCTACCATATTTTCAGAAACTTGCTCACGGTAGGTAATAGGTATATATGGTGTTTTAATCGCTTCTTTCAATGTGTAATAAGATGATAAGATTGTGTTTTCAAATACATTTTGAGTAACCATGATAGGCCCGATCCAAATTTTAATGGTTCCCATGATGAGTATGACGTTACAACTCTTGCAGGTCTTGCTGTGCCTCACCACGGTCGAGCTGGTTGAGTTTTTGGGCCGTAAGTTCATGCTAATTGCGTCGGCCATCGGTATGGGCACTTGTCTGGCTTTGCTAATGCTATACCAATCATTCTATCCAACCACAGACATCTGCACTTCGCCAATCGAATCGAACGAGTGGCACAAATACGTGCCCGTCGTACTCGTATGCATGTACCTGTGCTCATATTCAATTGGATGGGGACCGGTCGTCCCGCTGGTCTACGCGGAAGTGGTTTATTTCGACGTTAGTGTCTATAAGATATTATCATATTGAATAGTGTCATTTTTAAATTTCATAACGAATCAATGTAAATAATGTACTAATTAGGGCAGGAATTAGCATATTATACTTATATACTATGCATAATATCCAATGATGGCATTTTAAATGTGTCACACAGAAATGGTTTTCAAGTTTGATATACGCCGGTGGCCAGTTCGTCTTGTTCCTGGTGGCGTACACGTTTTTTGACGCCAACGCTCTGTTGAGCTTCAACAAGTACGTGATGTGTACGTATATCGTTTCATGTGCCACGAGCGTCGCTTTCGTTTATTTCTGCATGCCGGAGACTCGAGCGCTGCCCCTGGATCGGGTGCTGCAACGTCATACGGCGCCAAATAATTGTGTCGACACCGGAAATTAATGATTAGGTATATACCGTTGAGTTATTATATTTATAATTAAATTGTACAGTGTCACACACTCGTTGTTTATCATTTAATTATACTATATTATTGTTTTCTATCAAAAAATACTCAACATTGTCGAGGTCTATCACGACATAATATTCAGCAGAGTGTTGTGGAAGTGAACTGCAGTGACAATTTTTTTTTATTTATGTATGCGTCTTGTCGCGTCTATTGCAACATCGGTTTGTTCGAATGGGGTTGAAACGGTTAGATGTCTATAGTTGGGGGGAGTTGGTGCCAAATGCCCCTAGATTCTGTCTCGTTCCATTGGTTGGATGGATTTCATTCGTTACGTTACGTCTCTCATCACCCCTACTTCGCAATCCCTTCCCAAGTGTCACGTGGTAATAGCTTTCGACAACTCGTTTTAACCGTTTCACCGATGAGTTATAGTTTAAGCATTTACCATCTCACGACCAACAAATACAAATGACACCTCGGTGTGTCAATCAAAAATCGTTTTCTAGTACACGGTGAAATTAAAATTCCTAAACGAGATAAGTGAAATAATAATATGTAATAACGTTACGTGTTATTGCCGTCATCGCCGTCGTTATTATTATCTCTATTATTAGGTACAAGACGGATGTATTCTACTTAACAATAACACTCCGTTTGAAATATGTGAGCCTAATATTTCACATTATACTGCTTTGTATACATAAAAAAAATGATACTATGCTATGTATTATTTATTTATAAATTTATCTATAACATAAACGGACTAATTTTATCAAATATAGTTTAAATTCAAACATTTTACATTACAAATGCCACACCATATTATATTGTACCAACGGTGGCGGTGTAGCCGCTGTAAACAAGATAAAAAAAGAAAAATAATAATATTATAATCGTATTTTATAATAAACTCACGGGTACGGGATAGCTCATGTTTATTCGATATATTTACACGACGTCAGTGTATAGTTTACCTGTAACAAGCAAAAACAAAAATCGACATAAGTTTACGTGTATCGCGCACATTCATACATAATTATATGATATAGGTATATAATAATATGCGCATTATAAGACTGCACGGAGTTCATGATGCTATACATATTACATATAGATATTATATATTATATTATATACATTGTATTGGTATATATATATACATCACATATTGTAACGTATACACACATGTCGAGTACAACTAATTTAAACTACTTTTGTCGCATGTGCGTGTATCATTAGATCGTATTCATGCATTAGTAACGGCTTGTTAAGCCTGTTTCATACATTGTATGTTAAATAAAAGGCAACAAGTCTTGACGTATTCCACTAGGATACACAGAGCTAATTATATACGATGGAGCGGATTCGTGGCGCGATAGTTGCCGTTTCCGCAGTCAGCGGATAATCGAATTCCTAAGTATTACTTTGACGCCGAAAATCTACACACACCCCTTCAAAAACGCTCACCGTTGTCGACGTCATAGACTTATATATTAACGAGACTAGATAAATATAGACTTATATTAACTGAAGGTAACAAAATGGTGTTGAAAATGATTAGGAAAAAACCCCATCTATATGTTGAAACTACATTTAACTAAAATTATGATGTCGCATCAAATTGTTTAATAACATAACAATGAATGTAGAAACGCGTCCTGTACTGCAACATGCGATCTGTTGTCAAAATGTAGAGATGTATTTTTTAATATTTTATATGTGAATATAACAAAACAATATTATGTCTTCATTTAATATTTTATATTGCATTTACATAGTTCGTTATCGGTCATCGCGACATGTACCTATAAGTGGTTGTATATAGGTATTCTGGGCCAACAATAATATTATAATATAAAGAATATTGAAAGTTGCACTTTTGTTGTCTCTTACATGCACGACAACGTTGTTGTGACCTAAAAAGTTGTAAGGGTTTGAATGTAATACAATTTCTTTGGTTCAAATACCATCATTGTCTTGTCGATGATAATACAATCGTCCTGTTAGTTTCCACATCTAAAAACACGCAAATCACGGTTAATAATTCTGGCGATATTGCTAAATGATAACACGAGAGATAAAATAAATTGAGCTACACTGAAATTTAATTTGGCAGATTATGTGTAATGTGTATTATATATATATAAATATATAGATCATCGTCTGGTGTTCAGGCGAAAAGTTTACTTAAGGGCGCAGAAAGCACCTCCGTGCCTGGGTGACTGTGGTGCGCGGTGGTAGAAGGCATTAATAGAAGAAGAACAAAAAAAAATAATTCCGAAATTCCACAAACGAAATCCACTTGAAACAATTTATTGCGATAATTTTTGAATAATATCCGAAATGGCACAAAGAAAAAGAAAAAGAATTGAATTGCAAACACCACACGCAGTGCTAATACAATAATAACACACCGGGGGCATTGGCTTTTGCGTAACGGCCCGCAGAGGTGGTCTTCATCGTAAAACGATGTGCAGAAGTGGCAGGAAAAACGGTTTATAATATAACTTTTAATACGAAACAATTGAATTAAAAATAGATCTATACTACCTGCTACGAATAATAATAATAATAATAATAACTCAAGTTTAACAACCTCTTCTCATATCATCCGCGTTCTGATAACGTTCATTCAAATTCGCGTATAATAATATTATAGGTAACCATTGTGCGTCCGCGGTCTGAATCCAGCTGAGTTGTACATCGCACACACAGGTATTGTTATATGATATAATATAATATAATATAATACTGTAATACGAGTACATAAATTATAATCGGTCTACAAAATCCACAATGAGATGTGTTATTTTATTTTAATATAGCGTAGTACGTGCCATAATAACGTCCACGATAAACAATAAAATAGTAGGCCGTGCGGAGTGGAATAAAAATCTAATTATGAGCGCAGGTAGGTTAGGTATGCGAGTAAAGTCCCGAGAAAAAAAAATTTAACTACACGATTGATTACGTCCCCGAAATGACATAATAAGTTGTATTATTTTAACTCTTCCTCCACTCCTTCACAATATTGTTCTCATTTGACTGGCGACGACGACGGCACTGGATAATTAGATCACCGGAGAAAGTCGTCCATGATGTAATCGGTTTGGAAAGATATTTTTTTATTTTTTTTACGAATTGTTTCGATTTATAGGTACGTTTAGAATATAAAGCATTACCGAAAACGAATACATAACATGACGTGTATTATGCATTCGAGTTTGAGAAGATTCAGGAAACGACAACAACAGCAGCTGTCGGTGGCATGTTGCGGAGAAGTGAAGTAAATCAAACGAGAATTATTCGGGTCATTCGGACTGTATGATTTATCTATTATGTTTAAATTCAATTCCACCTTTCACAATCGACCCAGTTTCGTTAGTTTTATTAGTCCATTATCCGATTGTATTATGTTTTTTTTTTCGTTATTTTTTTTTCTCGTTATAATTATTGTTGAAAAGCCCAAACGAGGAGTGTTGTTGACCGGCGCTGTCGGACTAACGGATTTATCATTAATCGTCCATTCGTCGACGATAACAAACGCAAAGCACAAAAGCACAGACACAGTCTTCGTGGTGCAGCGAGTTACGATCGTCGGCGGTCCGTTGTGCAGACGCTAACCAATAGAGTGTATCAACTACCCGGCCAAACCCGCTATACTTATAGCTATACCGGTGATAATAGTCACAAAAGTCACTTAAATATTATAGGCTACATCGCGGGCGGGTACGGTAACACGAAGTGTGGAGACCGTAGTTTTTTCGTCCGTTTGGTACAAGGTCGTGAGGATCATTAAAATCTCCGCCCATCAAGTCCCCGGTCGACGCATGGCGCTGGTCTTCTCGTAACAACTCAACGCTATCGGTGCCCATAAACAGAATAAACAATCGAACGATTCAATACGCGCGTTGTCGTTACGTAATAATATTATAAGTTATAACGAACACTACTTGTCTCTCCCCGAAATAGTATATAATATATAGGGAGGAATGCCATCAGTGCGTCCATTTTATACATTAATACATTAATATAGTATCATATACGTAGACGTACGTAGAATACGACMCACACACGCGCGCGGGCGAACGCGCTCACACAAATAGGTACGATAAAAATTCTTGTAATCTGGTATCGGGTTTCAGTAGAAAGTTGCACGTCGACCTATTTTCATATTATAAATACACACATCACATAATATAATATGAAGGTATAGAAGTTTTAAAAAAAACAGCCATTATATTAATTGAATAAACGATAGTTAACAAAAATGATATTTAACCATTATTGGGTAGGTACCCATAGGTAAACATCGGAAAACACTGCAATCTATCAATAAAATTGCAAATTAAATATAATAATATTATTGTATTGTGTATAATAATACTGAGTCGTTTCTTACATACGTTCGGAGTATTTGATTGGCGCGTCCGGAAGTTCCTTCGCGACGATAACCGCAGCTTAAATTGATTTTATGACCGTCCGAGGAAGAGTTCCGTTCGTAATAGAACGTGTTATGATGCACGGCCGAATCAATCCACGTTCAAATAAGCTGTTGAGCAACAGTAATGTCAGTGATTTACGATGATGCGAAAAAAAATGAAATTCGGTCATAACAATATTATATTAATTATGTACAGAATTATATTAAGTAAAGAAGTACATTTATAACATGATATTGTATCGTAGCCGGCGTAGTATTATATTGTATATTTTTATCATCGAGAGAGCGACCCACGATTATTAACTAGGTACAAGACGTGTGAGTCGGTAACTTATTTTTTTATAATATCGAGGATCGATACAAAGATTTTCAGGTTATAATAATGAACTGCGTTTACGATTATCGGATTATTACT